AGGTGCTCTGGAGACTCTGAGTGAAGGCAGTGATGACATGTTTAATGAAAGGTAAATATTTATGGTCAGTCTCCAGCAGATGTACTCTGTGGGTGGCGGGGTGAGTGGGTGGGTCAGCGAGGCCTTCAGCACAGGAGCTGGGATCCCACCCGTGGTAACGCTTTGGCTCTCACCTGATATGTTTCTGTGTGCCGAACTTGACCCTGTTGTTCTGAAACCAGAGCAGGTAGGGCACCCAGCAGCCCTCGGAGTCCAGAAGGACCTCACTATGCTTGGAGCTGGAGCAACTTTCCTTGTGCTGTTTTGGAAAACTCCCAGATAGGCCCAGCCCAGCCATCCGGTCTCCTGGGGTGCTGCTGGCATCTAGTGGAAAGACAGGGAAACGGCTGGCATGCAAATACGTGGCTCTCACAAAGGACAGGTCCTGAGTGGACCTCACTCTGCCCCGCAGCGTTCACATGCCACACCCCCTGCTCTAGCAAGAGTGGGGCCAGCAAAGGGAGACGCCACTGCCCCCACTCAGTACCCACACACTGGTTCTCAACACCCCCAGACCCAACACCCTCTTTTTATAATATATATGTAGGTTTTGCCCCCTTTACTCTCCTAAAGTAAAATTCATAAGCTACCTAGGCACATTGGAAAAATCAGTGTAGTGTCCCAACTGTGATACAAAGGTGTAACATAGTAGTATGCGATCTTTATGATCATCTGATGTATGTATTCACCCATGAACAGACAGGAACACTTAGTTGGGTCACGTGCTTGTACCTGCGTAAAATGATTAAGTGTAAATTTAAGAGAAGTAAGAATATCAGAAGCCACTCTATACAAGAAGTGCAGGAAAATAAAAGAGCTAAAATACAGGTGGACACTAGAATAAAACCTTGTATTCAGATAAATAATAACAGACCAACCTGATTGATTGTATGTGATAAGAAAGCAAAGGAAATAACCTTAATGGAAGCGGAAAGGAGGTGTGTTCTACATTTTGGTCAATGAAACAAGGTAAACAACTACCGGAGGCAAGACACAAGTGGAGATCAAGAGTTCAGCAGAAGCAGCAACTCAGGAAGTGTCTAGAAGAAATGTTAGGTCCCCTGAGAACCCATGGACACATGGAGGGGAGTGACGCGAATTTCCCCCCACAGGCAAAATGGAAACCAGGGCCAGTTTATTTGCTATTTAATGTTGAAGAGGGGTGGTTCCAAATGATTAGAGAACCAGGGACTCCTGGGAGGCTGAAATCAGCCCAGGTACTGTAGCTGTCACTGTGTGAGCTTTACCAGCAGGATGTGGTGCCTAATTCACCAAAGGTTGGTTGTCAACAGAGGGGATCTGCCACTTGATTGAGAAAACTGCCATCTGGTCGATGGCACCCTTGAATAACTCAGATAAATATTGAGGCTGTCATTTACCAAGCACCCACTGTGATAGGTGTTTTCTATACATTACCTAATTCTTATAACAACCCTGGAAGGTATTAATTTATTGTCTTTACAGGGGTGGAAACCCAGATTTGGGAAGTCAAATGAGTAACACGATCAAGCTCTTGGTAGAATGTGGCAGAGCTGGGATTCGACGGCAGCTGTATCTCGTTTGAGACTCACACCCACCCACTATAGCAGGTAGGTGGGTAGAAATAGGAATCTTTGTTCCCACTTTGGTTTTGAGTGACCAAAGCCAAGGAAGTGATGTGAGTGGCTAGATGCTGTGCGGCTGGCGTGCGGTGTCCCCTATCTCCTACAGCATTTACATCATATCTTGTGGTATTTACTTCACATCTTGTTTTAAGGATCTCAGAAATCAGCTGCAACCTTAAGCAAATGAAATGGAACCCCCCTGGCCGGATGTGAGCATGGAGATTTATCAACTGTTTCCTAACGGAGACCAGAAATTGACATGTCACTTTGGGAATTTAGTTAAGATCTGTGCTCAGTATGGGAACAATTAGCTAACAGACTGCAGATAAATTCTCTGATTCTTCAGGGATGGGATAGTGACTTGTTACAAAGCCACTCTTGGAAATGAAGGTGACCTGGCTGCACAACCTGTCATCTGGTTGATAGTTGGGTTTGATCCTTCATGATGGGTTGAGCTGCACGGCCTTCTTCGTTGCCCCTGGAGCGTCCGTCCCAATTTTGCATCCCAGGTCTAAGTTCCCAGTGAGTGGCAAACCCTTTTACTATCAAGGGTATTCAAGTAGGAAGCATCTCTTAGCCCTCTGAAATTTGTTTATAAGAGCCAATGTCATGGTTCTCTGAGCTGTTCTCTCTAAGTAGGAACTGTGAGCTAAGAGAATGAAGCCCAAGTGAAGCAAAATAACTGAAATGTTCAAATGTAGGGTGAGAGTCCACATTAGTACAACCACTTTGGAGAACTTTTTCTCACAAAGTTAAAAACACCTACTCTTACTCAGCTATTTCACTCCCTGGGCATCTGTCCAAGGGAAATGAAGATGTGTTCACACACACACACACACACACACACACACACACAAATTGTAGAGTAATGTTCATAGCAGTTCTATTCATAATCACCCCCCAAACTGGAAACAACCCAAGCGCCCATCAACAGGTGAATGGATAAACAAATGTGTGTTATACTCATATAATAGAACAATACTAAGTATTAAGAAAAAGAATAAACTACTCGCTCAAGCAACAACATAGATGAATCTCAAAAGCATTTTGTTGAGTGAAAGCTCTACATACCTAAGTAATCACTTCACAGACTGCAATAATTTCAAGTTCCAGAACAAGCAACAGTAAGCTATGGTGATGGAGTCTGAACAGTGATGACTGCTGTCAGTAGGAGTGCATTGACTGGAAAGAAACAAGGAAGTCTCTTTTTCTTTGGCTGTCTCCCCATCCCTCCCTAAGACTGCGACTGTTGCCCCCACCCATGGTATAGCCACAGCCGCGGGGCTACTAGCTTGTCAGGGGCTGAGTGGCTGCGAAAGTGCAAACCGCCCCTTGGTTTGACTTAGCGCTGTCCACAACTGGTTAGGCTTCCAGTTTCAACAACCCAGGGTTAATAATAACCTGACCATGGCTCCAAAGGTCAGAGAGGTCTTCAACCGGGCAGGCTTGAGTACACAGCTCGAAGTTCAAAGCTCGCTGAATTCAGGAGTCAGCTCAAGCAAGACAGATGGCCGGGTGGCACAGCAGGGACGAGGAGGGCCTAGAGTGCCCTCCATCATGGCGGACTGGGCCATTCCTTCCTGCTTGTGGAACCACATTTGCTCTCTGAGAAGCTGGGCCATGACAGCCCTGGGTGGACCTGTCATTTCTCTTGTGCAAACAAAGCAAGCACATTGTTCAACAGCCACCCCACCTGGCCACCTGGATGAAACCAACATCTCTTTACAGCCTCATCCTGCAACACCTGCCAAGCTCTCTGGGGCTGCCCTGTCGAGCCCAGGGTCAGATGCAAGGTTGGGCCCATCATGAGCCCATTTGATGCTGCAAGACCCCACTTGAAATAGCTCTGCCACTGAGGTTAATTTACTGAGGCTAAAGCAGTGAAGGGCTGACATGAAAGTGTGTCACCTTGAAAGAGAGGCTGTTCCTCAGCTCAATGCAGGGATCCGATTCAAAAGGTCCCAGGATGGTAACTAGTTCAAATTTGGGAATCTGATATGAGAAACTCCATGGTTCTACCCCCAGTCCCTTATAAGTATTAACTCATTTACTTCTCATGAAAGTGTGGGAGACATCGTGGGGAAACTGAGGCCCCAAGGAACAGAGGGATATGCGGAAGGTAGTAAGTGGCTGCAGGTTTGAGGTCAGGCGTTGGGCTGCCATGTCTGTGCTCTTCGTGCCACACTGTAGTGGCTCCTGGGAGGGAGAGATGTGGCCCAAGGTTGGAAAATGGCAGTGGAAGTCTGGGCCAGACGCCTGCAAACAGCCAGGCGCCGTGAGCGCGGCCCAGAGGCGGGTGGCGAAAGGGTGAAAATTGCTGAGGGAAAGGTAGTTCCAGATCCCAGATTCTGGCCAATTTGAAAAACATTTCTGAGGTAATATTTCCATCTAGTGGCAAAACAGCAGGTAGCAATTACCCTCCAGGCAAGTATCTAAGCAGCCTTGAGTGGGGGAGGTATAACAAGTCAGTAAGAAGGTTATTTTTTACAGGTCCTAAAAGACAGGCACATCCCACTTCCTTGGAATAGTCTCCAATTTCCGCATGCCACCGAATGGTGGCTGCAGGCTGGGTTCACGCCCCAACTCTGCTCATTACTGCCGAGAGGCTTAGGCAAGTTAATTCACTTTATTATCTCTTCTGAAAAATGGAGAAAATAATATCTACCTACGGCTGCTGCGAGGATCAAGTGAAATACTGCATGTAACGTGTCGGGTGTATTGTAAGCACTTAAATGTTAGTTGTTACAATACTAAAGAGGTGTCTGGCAAGAGCTGGGATGGGAGCACAGAGGGAAGGACCTGGACGCATTAGGCATTAGTTAGCGGCCTTCTGCGAACCTCACAGGACTGCCCTTGGGGCCCCCTTTTTTCACATGTAGCCTCATGTTTGCCTTTCCTAGCCTTCTGCCTGTATTACTACACCAGTTCTCCACTCAAATACATTAGTGGTTCTTCCTGTCTCCCATATTCATCTCTGTCAGGTGTGTCTACGCAGCACGCCCCTCAGACTGTCCTGGCTGGGTCCCCTCTGCCCTCTGCCCGCCAGCTCCCAGGTGGTGCCTGCCCTTCAGCCATCCCCTCCCCACCTCCCAGACAAGCCCTTCCTTAATAACACGGGGGCTTTTGTTATTCTCCACCTGAAATCACCCACTCTCTCCCTCTAGCCACCTTTGACGAACTCGGAAAAGTACGAGGTTTGGGAGCAAAGAAGCAACTATTTTATTTTGAAGTTTAATTTTGTCACAAACACCACTTAAATCTGAGGTAACTGTGTAAAGCGCCAAAAGTTCATTTCATAGTTAACCTTGCTTTGGCCTAGTTAGTTGTTCATTGACTTCCAAATCTGAATGTTGTTCCCATTAAAAGGGTAACTTTTAGCCTTGAACTTCGTCTGGACTCATGGAGCTATGGGCAGTGACTTACTGTTTCCTGCCACACTCAGCAGGAAGCCAGGCTTGGAGTGGCCACCTCTAGACGCCACTTTTGCGAGTGCTGGAGGACGCTAATACCAGGTTTGTTGTTGGGTGTCTTCTGTGGGCTTAGAACTGGAGACGGAGATGAAGTGGCAGGTGGTACAAGAGCAGAGGAAGGAGAGTGTGTGAGGCATCACGGTGCTAACTGGGAATTTACAAGGTGAGGGGCTTGGCCAAAACAGGTCGTGTGGACAGGTAACAGGACGCTGAGGGGACCAGCAAAGGAAGGCTTCACTTCAAAGAGGTTATCTCTAGTTAAGTCTCAGAACCAACTAGCGAAATGTGAACCCTTGGGTGGAAACATGAGTCAAAATAGGTCCACCTGAAAAGGGGCTCTGGAAAATCCAAAGGGCACAGTCCCTGCCCTCGGGGATGTATTTGTACCTTGACCACTGCTTCCTGCACAGGCTGAGGAACACAGTGATATGGCCACTGCTTCTAAAAGACAGAGAAGTTAATGTTTCACAAACCACTGAACAGGGATAGATTCTTTGGGGAATAAGTTTGTTTGGAATGGGGTGCCAATTCCCTCCAATGTAGAGCATTTGGGGACTGTGATTGGGTTGAGTTGAATCTATAGATCAATCTGGGGAGAACCATGGCGCGGATGGTATTGTCCACAGAAGAACATCCAAACCTGTAGAGAATTTTTGTAAAAATGTATTTGAGCCAATCAGAGGATATGCCTGGAAGCCAGATCCCAACAGACTGTGTATATAAAGATGCTGCATTCTTTATTTATTTCTCAGAATGGCAGTTTGCAGCTTCTCTCACACATTTGGTGTTAAGGAGAGAGCATAAGGAAGATTACGTGAGGATGGGAGAAAGCAAGGCGGAAAATGGGACGACAGGATAGTTAACAATGTTATGTGTTCTCTGGAGGGTGGTTACTTCTGAAAAGAGGCCTTTCAAAGGTGCGTTAACCTAGATGCACAGAAACATGAACGGGGCTTGCTTAAGGCAGAGATAAGCCTTTTACTAAAAAACCATAGGCCTGGATGGGACTCCCCACCATGACCTGCCCAGTGAGGCATCTATGATCAGATTACCCTGTGCGGTGACTTTCCACAGAACTCCTTTTTCATCCACACTATAAAGATAGGCATGTCAGTGAAACACAGCAGAGAGTCCAGAAATCGGATCAAAGGAAAAATGGCTTTTTGTGACCTTCTACCTCCCAACAGGAAGCACAGTTCCCAAAGTCTTTCCTCTTCATCACTAGGCTCTTACATCACTTCTGCATTTTACAAGATCTTTGATTCTCACATGATCTCCGTGAGATAGATGGTCAGTCCGCATTGTATCGGTGGCTACGAATTGGAGCTTGTCTCGACCATACACAGTAGAACATCATCTGTGGGATACCATTTAAGAAACAATGGGAATATCCCCGAATTCCCACAGTACTCACCCCAAAAAAGGACACCTGTTACACTCTAGATCAGCAACTAGCAGAAAATGTGCCATTGAAATGTCTTCTGCTTTGACTATAAGCTTTTTTTTTTTTAAGAAATTTTATTGGGGAACAGTGTGTTTTTCCAGGACCCATCAGCTATAAGTCAAGTGGTTGTCTTCAATCTAGTTGTGGAGGGCACATCTCAGTGGCCCATGTGGGAATCAAACTGGCAACCTTGGTGTTCTGAGTCTGTGCTCTAACTACCTGAGCTAACCGGCTGCCCTGACTGTAAGCTTTTTCAGAGCAGAGATTGACTTCATATACTTCTTTTTTTAAATCCAATGTCTAGATATATTAGTCAGGGTAAGTTTGGCTATACTGTAGTAAAGAATAAACCCTGAAATCTTAGTGGGTTGACACACACACACACACCCTTATTTCTTGCTCATACAAAATCAGCTGGAAGCCAGATCTCAACAGACTGATCCCCAGAGCTACTCCTTTCCAAATGGTGATTCAGGGACTCAAGCTGCCTTCATCTGTAGCTATGTCTCCTGGAGAACATGGCCTCCAGGTTGCTGCAGCAGGAGAAAAGAAAGATGGAGGGTCACATATCAGCTCTCAAATTTTTGGCCCAGAACTAACCTATGTCACTTCCACTCTGAGCCCATTGGCCAGGACTGGTCATATCAGCCTCTGCCTTCCTGGCTGATAGCATGTACTCAGTCAACCTTGTTGGATAAATTCATGACTAAATCTGACTTGGGTTGAATTGATACAGTCACAGCATTACTCAAATCTTGAAGCCTCTTTCTACCTCCAAAGCCTCAGAAAGGATTGCCCATGTCCTCAACAAGAAAAATGCAAATGGATCTAGCATTTATTGATGATCTGTTCTTAACAAGGCACTGTTCTAGAAACTCTATGTGGGCTATAGTGTTTCATTCTCATGAGGGCTCTGTGGGTTAGGCATTGATAATCTTCTTTCACAAGTAACGTTTTCGTGGAACCATAGTGAGCCCATGTTTGCCAAGTTACAAAGCGTAAGAGGGTTGATTTTCCTGACTCCATGGACTCCTTCAGCTATTAATGCCTTATGGACTTCAGAAATACAGCCTGGCATAGTTGCCATTGTGAGAGGTGCTCGGAAGAAGGCAGAGAAACACAGCTGCCTTTCTCCACCCCCAGCTGCTGTTCCCTTTCTCATCTCTCTCCTGCTACCTTCAATGACAACTGCTAGTAGAGATAGCTACCTCTACAAGACCTAAGGCCAGCAGTGAGGGAATGGAGTCTAGACCTTGTTCTGAGCATTTGTGTTGCTTGGACGTCTGATTTGCACACTCCATCCTTTCTGAGAAAATGGAGAGGCAGGGGTTGTGACCTCCACACAGGACAGACACCTTTCCCAATGGCCTAGACTTTGTGGGAATTGACCAAGCTGACTTTATGCAGCTCTGCCAACCCTACAGAACAGAGGCCCCAACGTCTCCTAAGCTACCATTGATACTCCATACTGGCTCAAACAAACCCAAAGCAAGCCAGAAAGATTGCTGGTCAGACGGTGTCATCCTCATTGTGTGAGCTTGGATAATGACTTCACTTGGGTTCTCTGGGTTTTAATTGTTTCGTCTATAAACAGGCCTCTCGGACATCTGTTCTCTGATCACCCTTCATCTCACCAGGTTACTGAGATCATCAAATGGAATGATAGAAGGAAGAGTGTTTTGTAGGCTGTTAAGACCGATTTAAATGTGTGAGGTTGTTTATGACCAGCTAAAGAATGAAACATTTCAACTTCCTGGCTGAGTTATGATTTTGTCGAGGGAAGGGGACAAAGCTGCACGTGCCCATGGCATTTTAAAGGCCACCTCTCACCCTATGAACCACCCTCGGCTGCACACGTTGGCTTCTTGTCATGATGCTTAAGAGCCAGGCCGTGGGAGTCAGAACACGGTACCAGCCGTGGGAAGGTGGGCCAGGTCTCCTAACCTCTCTGGGCTCAGGTTGCTTATCTGTGAATGTCGATCATCATATGTGTGATTGGGATTATTATAAAGGTTGAAATGTTAGTGCACATAAAACTATTTACACAGCGCAGGACATATCCTGAAGCACTCAATACATGGTTGCAATTTTATTGTTATTATTGTTATTAAGGAGCCATCATGTTGTTCCCCAGGCATCTTTGTGTAATCAAATCTTTCCACTGTTCGATAGAATCAGAACATCCCCCACCTTTCAAAACACCCTGTGAATATTCAGGTTAGTGTCTCCCAGCATTGCCCTGAGCAGTCTGCAATGTCCCCTAGAAAGCTCCCAACTCACAACATGGCTGTGCTCCAAAACTCTACATGGAAGTCATTTGTTCAGAACTCAGCACGTATTTTCCCATAGAGAGGATGCTATTAAAATAATAGTTGGATTCCCGGGTGACTGAAAATACCCAGAATTCTTCAAGTGACACCAACATGAATCATAGGAGTCAGATGAAACCTTCAAAGGAAAACAACTCGTTATCTCTCTAACCCAACTGCATTCGATCAAATGGCAATATTGCACAAAGACTGCCTTGAAATTCCTTCCGGAAGGCCTCACTCGATGTCCTTGCCCCTTCCCTCATTTGGGAAAAACTATGTGAACTTTAGATTATTAGCAACAGATACCATTGAATGTCCTTGCTTTGAGATTTTTAGCTTCCTTATCGCTGCTCTGCTAGCTGTGCCTTCCCCCTGTTTACCACGAGACAAAAAGCATGAGCAGATCAAATGAGCTACCACGGGCTAAAGTTCTTAGTTCGCAAGAAAACTTTATGTTTTTCTCCCCTTTTCCTCCACTTGGTCAGTTGGGGTAGAGGAGAAAAGAAGAAAAACTACTGGAATGGAGCTCAAATGAAATGGGAATACAAAGAAACCATGAGATAACATGGACCCTCCCTTTAACATCTGGTGGCTTTAAGTCTGAAATGGATTGAACTGAAATACATCAAAACGTATAATGCTAAGTCTCCCTCCCAAACGTAGGGAAAGCTTTGAACAACCGGGTAGAAGCCTCATATTGGACCTGTACTAAAAACAATGGATTCAGCACTCTTCTAAGCTTTATGACATATGCTATGTAAAGGAAAAATATGCATTATAATTGTTATTTCCACCCTAAAAAATTCTTTCACATTCCACATGACAAGTAATTTATATGAACCAACTATATGTAGCGTGAAATTGAAAATGGAGAATGTCTATTTTTAGAGGTTACCATGATTCTGTGCCTTCCTCTGTAGTCATTTACTGCATCATTCTCTTCAAATGCAAAATAAAGAGATTAATACCTTCCGTCTCTACTTCACAGGGAAGTAGAAAGGAGATAGTAAACAGAAAAGGAAATAGTAGATAGAAACGCATTAAAATGGTGTTCGATGTATATGTAAAGACGTCACGTTCTGTCTTGATTTCCAAGCAGCTTTCAGATGATAAAATTCACGCTGATCCAGGCACATAATTCTGAAGGAGCCCGAGCTGCTCCTCTTGGATTAGACACAAGCGCTGTTGAATTTCTATGCTAGAAATCTGCAGAAGAGCTTTTCTGCGGGTGTGTAATGCATAGGAGGTGGGGATTTGGTGAGACATGGGGAGTTGAAACCTGGTGAAGAATTCTTCTCCAACAAGGCAGAGGGATGATAGATGGGGTGGGGGGTGGGGGGAGGTGTGTTAAATTCAAGTAATGAACATTTATGAACAGAAACGAGGTGTTACATGCCGTCCTAGTGCCTGGGGATACAGGGTGTTGGGGGGTCCCAAGTTCTGTGATTTACTAGGAAGGCTCATAGGACACAGTATATAGACAAGGCTGTGATTTATTACAGGGAAAGAGTGCTCAGCCAAATTAGCAGATGGAAAAGGCTTGTGGGGCAAAATCTGGAGGAAACCAGGTGTAAGCTCCCAAGAGTCCTCTCCCAGGGGAGGGACACAGGCCACATTTAATTCCTCCTGCAATGAGTGGTGACCACACGTGTGACATGCTTTCTACCAAGGAAGCTCGTTTCAGAGATTCAGTGCCCAAGGTGTTTTGTGGGGGGCAAGTTGCCTAGACATGCTCTGCCTCACCAGCACCAAAATTCTAGATCTCAGAGGGAAAGCAGATAGATGTTCAGCATAATCTCATAGTTGACACAAACAGTTGAGACGCGTCAAGCCAGTCTTATCAGGGAGTAATAGGAAGCCCCCTGAAATCTCTCGGTCCCCAGACTCCAGCCAAAGTCCGACCTCACAAGCAGGCCTTTTGGGGGACAGCATCCTCGGGCCTGCTGTGCTAAGTCTCTTATGCACACAGAGGCTGCAATACACGATTTGAGTGCATTTGGATAAATTCAATGATTAATTCATTTGAATACAGTTACTGAGCTCGTGAAGGGTCTGGAAGGAAGGAGATAAATTAGACACGGTTGTTGTATTTTGTCAGACTCAACTCAGCACCTCAGTAGCTCCCTGCCCACCCACAGGCAAGGCGCTTTGTCTCTAAGAAGCTCTGTGCCTGTGCTCCACGTTCCTCCTCGCCTCCATCCAGAGCCCAGGGCACATCCCAGGGGCGCTGCTTGCTGTCGCATAACTTCCTTCTGCTTAGCCCCTGAGCTAGGTGTTTGGAGCTCCTCCTCTGTTTGACTTGACTCCAGCGCAACCCTCTCGACGGTTCTGCTCCATCCCTACCCCCACCAAGACTCCCATCAACCCACATCTCACCTGGCCTCCTTGGCCCCTCGTGTTCGAAGCCCTGGTTCCTGGGGCTTATCTGCATCAGTCAGTGATGTGAAAGGCACCCTGTTTCTACCCACAGCCTTCGGCTCATCTTGACCCCGCTGCCAACCGCTGGGGAGATGCCCAGAGCTGTGAACCACAGACTCATCAGCCTTTCCTACTGGCATCTTCTCCCACGGAGCTGTCCGTGCTGTGACTCACGGCAGCCATGCCTTCAGCAGCTCTGCGCTGCTGTCCCCACTGCCCTTACTGCAACTGGAGGGATTTACGGCCCCCAAGCCCTGCCCCCCTTTCTCCTTTCAGGGGGGTGCTTGTATCTGAAGGGCGGGACTGTGGCTTTACAGGGCTGAGACTGGGGATGGGAAGGAATGGAGGTAACGTGTTGTTGTCTTGATCTCAATATTAGGAACACGTTCAATGACCCAGCCAAGGAGTTGAAAAAAAAAATCCGCTTTCTCCCTGGTACCCACCATGGCTCCAAGCAGAGTCCTGAGTACACCCAGATTTTAGTATCAGTTCAGCCCCAGTTTTCCTACCCTGATGGATCACCTCCTAAAAAGGCACAGAGGTAGGAAATAACCCTCGAGCTCAGGGTAACTCAGATGACAAGGGAGGAAAAGTCACCAAGAAATGACGCTGGTGAGGTAAGAGCCAGGCTGTGGAAAGCTGTGAATGTCATGATTCACACAACAGGCATGAGCGGACTTGCGTTTTAGAAAAAATCCCAGGCAGCTGGAGGGAGACGCGTTGGAGGGTGACTCTGGAGGCTAAGAGACAAAGATAAGAAATTTTTGTAAAAATCTTAGAAGAGGAGGTGGGGCCTCAACTAGATCGGAGGCAGTGGGCGTAGAGATGCGGGAACAAACATGAGGGATATTTAGAAGACCGGAGAATCAGGAGTGGGGTGGGGGCAGGGGGAGTGAGTGCTGGCTGGGGGGTCAGCACCTTCGGCAGCACCTCCGTGGAGATAAAGAATATGGGGTGGGGTGGGGCTTTCATGATGAATCCAAACAGCTTCGTGCTATATCCCTCTTTCCCCCTCTTCTCTACCTCTGAAGTGTCCTTACTGCGTTTTGTTTGTTTGGTTTGGGTGTTTCCTTTGAAGGTCCAGAAATGCCCATGGTGTGTGTGACAGACTTTGAGGCCCAAGCACGGGAACTTCTCTCTAAGTCGACTTGGGATTTCATTGAAGGAGGAGCCGATGAAGGCTTCACGCGGGATGACAACATCGCAGCATTTAAAAAGTTTGGTCTTCTGTATCCTTTCTATGGTTAAGCTCAGGTGCACTGATTGACAGCTCCTGGGAAGGTGGTAGTCCTGGCTTCTGCCCACAGAGCACACAGAGGACTCGAGATACGATCATAGTTTTTGTTTGGGGTTTGGGAGTCTCTTAGGGGGAGGGGCAGGTAGCTGGAGAGAGCATTATCTTAGTGCCTCTGCAGAACTCACACAAGCGAGTGCCCCTCCCTCTGCATTCCAGCGACTTGGCTACCTGACAAGATAGGACAAGAATCCCAAGGTCCGCAGTCACCTGGGCAGGGAGGTTAAGCCCTGTGGGTAAACCTAAATTTGCTGAGTTCTTAAACTTCTGGCTTGGAGGAGAGAATGTATGGAAGGAAGGAGGCCTCAGGGTGGGAGGAAGCATGGACACCCAAGGAGTCTTAGGGATGAGAGAAGATTGATTCAAGGAGGAGAGTTCACATCGGCAAACAGTGGCCCACAGGCCGGGTCAGGCCCACTGCCTGTTTTTGGATGGTCCACAAGCTAAGGATGTTTTGGGGGTTTTTTGTTTTTCATTTTTAAACCACTGGAAAAAAATCAAAAGAAGAATTTGTAACACGCTAAAATTATATGAAACTCAAATTTTGGTGTACATAAATAGAGTTTTATTGGAGCACAGTTATGCCATCGTTTGCATATTATCTGTGGCTGTTTTTACATTAAAACTGCAGAGCTGAGTAATTGTGACTAAGACTGTACAGCCCACAAACCCTAAAATATTTACTGTCTGGCCCTTCACAGAAAATATTTGCTGACCCCCTGTGATAGAGAGGTTGGGAAAAAACTGAAAAATGGGGCACAAGGCGAACACTGAGTTCTGTGTTTTCACACTTGTTTAGCCCTATGCTAGGCACTTTAATTGATTTATTTCAATCTGTCATCACTAGACTATTTAGGAAGTTGGGATGATTACTCACATTTCACAGATGAAGTAACTGAGGCCCTCTTACCTGTTTGGCATAGTCAGTATTTGCAGGGATAATATTTTGTGAAAGACAAGCACAAAATATTTGGACCCTGAGGCTAAGTATCTGTGAGACTTGAATGTGCTGTATATATTTATTTGTGAATTTCCCTTTCTCCTAAAGCACCATTTAAGTCAGATGTTCAAATGAATTTGCCTCTAGGAAAAAAATGCCGTGATCATCCCTGGGGCTTTGTCCTCCCTCAGAGACCTTCTCTTTCTTACTTTAGACTTGCTCTGACCTGAGAGGGGAGCCTGGACCACCCTGCTGCCTGTCCTGTCCCTCTCTGGTCCTTGTTCTGATCAGTCAGTCACAGCACAGTCCTCTGAGGGAGCAGGGCAGGGCCTGGTGGGGACCCCACATGCTCGGGGAGCTTCAGAAAAGGCAGAGTTCATGGGGGGTGCAGGATTGGGGCTGGGAGAGGCTCCTAGAGGGAGGGAGCCTCCGGTTACCGGTCCCTGGTGCCGGTTCAGCTGCCAGTCAGCTGACCCCGCCTGAGGCTCCTCAGGATGCAGCCTAGTCTAGACCTGCACCCAGAACCTGGGGGTCCCAGCACCAGGCAGCGCCTCCGTGCTGGAGAGGAATCCCACCAACAGGAAATCTCTTTGTTGTTGAGCACAGAATCCGCCTCCGTCCCCGGTACCTGAAAGATGTGTCGCACGTGGACACCCGGACCACAATCCAAGGGGCGGAGATCAGTGCCCCCATTTGCATCGCTCCCACAGGCTTCCACTGCCTCGCCTGGCCCGACGGAGAAATGAGCACAGCCAGAGGTGGGCACCGGAGGAGCCACCAGAGGCTCCCTTCCCCGGGGCACTAAAGTGGGCAGGGGGTGTCCTTCCAGCAGGGGCGGGCCGCGCCAGGGCATCTCTGTAGAAGGGGCTTAGGGACAGCAGGCTGGTGGGAACTGAGGAGGGTGGGACAAGGAGTGCTTAACTCTGTGTTTGCATAACATCTCACCCAAGATTGAGAAAATACCCATTTTCCATCTTAAAGATGGTTAGGGTGGGAGAGAGGCTACTGATGAATGGGAGAACGCAAAATTCCCACCAAGCCATCCCACAGAACGGGGGCGCTGGTCCCTCTGACTCACACTGTCTGTGGGGAACAGGCTGCTCCACGTGGCCCCAGGGGTATGGCCCTCTTTGACCCCCTCATGGAGCCGAATGGTGAGTCTCTGAATTTAGGATGAGAAGACAGCCACGACACGAGGTCCTAGCACAAGGCCTCGCCAGGCACTCTTGTCCAAATGTTCCGTCCTCCTCCTCTGCGATTGACTTTGTCACCTCACTTGACAATCAGTTTCTAATTAGGTTATGCCTCATTCCCTACCCCCACCCGACCCATCCCACCAAAAAATAACAGGAAGAAGAGGAGGGAAGGGAAGGGAAGGGAAAAGAAAAAAGGGGCAGAGCGGGGCTAAAAATATTCTTGTGACTCCTTTGTCATCTTCACTCTAGGCCTAGTGTGTTTTCCAAAAGTTGCCCAGTGCTTCCTTGGGGTCTTTTCATTTGACCCGGTGAAATAGGAGGAAATGAACCTAAGGACCCTAGAGCTGGACATGACGTCTATTTGGGATAGAGACCCAGTCTGGCTAGGTTGAAATATGAATATCTCATATGATTGTGACTACCTTACTAAACCTTCACAGTTGAATGTGTTGTGTTGTTTTGAGAGTGGGGCAAAAGAATAGGACTTTTTTGTTGACATTAGGAATTGAAAATACTAATTTTTGATTAGGCCAAATTCTCTGCACATGGATTACGGGATAGTGACATGAACCTGTTGGAGAATCCCAGTGAAAATTATTAAAGTAGGAAATGAGAAATACACAATGCAGCAACAGCAGTGTCAACATCATTGTCACCATCATCTTCATCAATCTCATTGTCACTAGCATTTGTATAGTACATCACTTCATAATTTTTAATAAATGCTTCTGTATCTGGAATCTTATTGAATCTCCCAACAGCCCTATAGGAGAGAGATTATTGTTTTCCCCAGTTTACACATAAGGAAAATGAAATTCAAGGCCACACAGCTAGAAGTAGTAGAACTAGCGTTCTTCTAGCTTCAGGCATCAAGCTTCTTCTCCTGCAAAGCTCAGGCCTTTCCACTGGAATCACGTTTCCTCATTCTTTGCCCTCTTTAGTTCCCTCTTGGTTCATTAACAAGTTCACAAGAAGCCCATTTTCCTATCTGAAAACCGCAACGTGCCCGACGCGGTATAGAGGGTTCCGTAACATCTCTAGCTGGAAATATTTTAATATGGAGCACAGGGCTTAGAAGACGGGTTTGACAGCAGGGGACCCAGACCACTTTAGACCTCCCAGTCGGATCAAACACCTCTATTCCCACCCCGCTGGGAAACAGAGGAAGCCAAGCTTTATCCTGACTCACGGGGCAGGCTGGCCAGAGGCTACGCAGACTCCTAGGGCCCCTCACCCCAGTTCAGAATGCCTCTGCCCCCCAACCTGACTTGTGCCATTTGCTTTGCAGCTGCCCAAGCAGCGGGCATCTGCTATATCGCCAGCACGTATGCCAGCTGTACCCTGGAGGACATTGTCTCTACGGCCCCCAGAGGCCTGCGGTGGTTCCAGCTGTATGTGCAGCTCGATCGGCAGCTGAACAAACAGCTGATCCAGAAAGTGGAATCCTTGGGCTTCAAAGCTCTGGTAGTCACTGTGGATGTGCCCAAACTTGGCAACAGGCGACATGACGTCCGAAACCAGTTGGACCTGAAGACGAACTTACTGCTAAAGGATCTCCGATCACCTAAGGAGGTAGGAGAGATAGCAGGTCCAGTGGGCAGGCATTACGAAAGGTAAATTTCCTGCCTTCATTCCTCCCTTCATTCTTTCTACAAGAATTCACTGAAAGCCTGTACTGTGCCAGACACGGGGGGGTGCAGCAGTTCAGAACTCAGGCCTGGTTCCTGCTCCCCAGAGCTTCCAGATAAACAGAATATAAGACAAAATGTCCTCAGAAGTATTCTGGCCAGGGCTGAGTGCTGAGAAATAGGAAAGGGATAGAAAGGATAAGAGAGAAAGCTAAATAAGTTCTCCCAACGTTTTCTACTTTATGGCACACTTTGAAAATGGTAATTATGCGGCCTTGAGAACTTGGGTCAATAGCTCTGCATACCTAGAACTCAGGCACGGAACACCAGGCACTGTTTGGCATCTCGGATTGCCAAGGGCACTTGGTCCATTAAAACCCTGCAGTCAGATGGGATGGAGTGTCCCAGAGAGAGAGAGAGAGTCACGGTATAATTGGAATCCCTTGGCCGCAGTAGAGAGGGTGACAGCAGCCTTTGTGACTCGGCTATTCTACTCATTCATTCCTGAACTCATACACAGATTGGCCTTGAGGTTCTCAGAAATCCTTATCTCAGATTCCAGGGTAAACACTGGGTAACACCTGATTTAGGCTTTTTTAATTATTGCTTAATTCTTACTACCCTGTGTGTATATCAACAATAACACACTACACTGGCCTATAAATGCCTTTGCTTATCCATCTCACTCACCAAACTCTGGGTTCCTTTAAAGTAGGGACTGTGTCTTACTTGTCTTTGTCTCCCCAGATCCTGGCATAATGATTGAGCAGGGACACTGTTAACACTTGATGAATAAAGCGATTGAAGTAGAAATTCCTTTTGTTAAGGAAAGGAGCTAGAAGTAGTGTTGATGTGTGTTGCTCCTCTTTTCAAGCTTATACTGGTACATGCTCCTTTTCACGTATCATTAGGTGGCTCTGTAAGTGTGTCTCACCTTCGCAGTGGATCAAGCAGCCTTGAAGGAATTGAGGACTGAGGTTCTCTTTTCTTCTCCAGAGAAATGCAGCGCCTCATCTCCAGATGTCTCCCATTGACTCCTCCTTCTGCTGGAGTGACCTCTCCTGGCTTCAGAGCATCACTCAGTTGCCCATCATCCTTAAAGGGATCCTGACAAAAGAGGACGCAGAGTTAGCCGTGAAGCACAAAGTCCATGGCATCATTGTCTCCAACCACGGTGGGAGGCAGCTTGATGGCGTCGCTGCCTCTGTAAGTAGGATGGCTTCAGAGGGGGTGTGTCTCTGTGTCCAGAGCAAGGTGCCCTGTGCAATTTTGTGCACACTCCCTCTCCTTACTACATATGTTGGTATATACATGTGAATTCAAGGTCATCCGAGGAAAGCGCCAAGATTAGTGTGAGGCTAATGAGGTACCTGTCTCTGGCTCAAAAATGTAAGAAGGTGTGGAAAAACTTAGTAAAATACATAATAGTTTCATGTGTTATTTTTAAAAGGGAAATTAATGCAGAAGTTATCCGTGGTGAGCAAAATCTCAGCATTTACAATAAAGACAGGATCTGTCCCTGTTTGTATAACCCTGCCTTACCCACCTCACTGTGATCCTGGCCCTGGATCCAATAAAATTTCATTTGGAACAGAAGCTCACAGGTCAAAGTTTGCCACTCGATTTTTAAAAATATTTCATTCAAATATCGTTTATCTGAGCTTTTGGCACCCCTTAAATTTTGTGCCTGAAGTCAGCACCTCCTCTCAGCCTAGGGCCCTCCCTGTGCGGGGTGTCACTCTGAGTGAAGTTCCCACCTCTCTAAGGTTCCATATCCAACACTCCCTGTGTTTCCTCCTGGGACAAGGAAAAGAATAAGGTAACTGTTGTCCCCAAAGGTTCTAATGAATGTCCTGCTGTGACCTTTCAAAAGTGAACTCTGAAGCCATCAGCGCCCTGGGCTGAAATGAAATTCTCTCCCTCTTCCATTTCTCAGATGACTGTTCAGGTGAACACTCTAAATGGAAAGCAAATGTGAAGAGGAACCAAGAGTTTCTTCCAAGCTGTAGACATTTAAACCCATGAGTCAGGGAGAAGCTGCACTTGGTCAGAGCAGAAAGTGGCAGAAGGGACAGCCCGTAGAAAGTGCCTGGGCCTTGGGAGCAGCCCTGCACTGCTTGACTGACAGGCACCCGCAGCCGCAGGCACAAGAGGGAACAAAACTGTCAGACATGCCCCCCTCCTCCCCGGACTTCCTGGTTCTCGCCCACCTTGAGGGGGCACCACTGTCCCATGAGGCCCTGAAAGCCAAGACGAAAACCCTGGAGCCACACGTATCTATCTGTCTTTTTCAGATCAATGCCTTGACAGAGGTGGTAGCTGCTGTGAAAGGGAAGATTGAAGTGTACATGGACGGTGGGATCCGGACGGGTTCTGACGTGCTCAAGGCTCTAGCCCTTGGGGCCAAGTGCGTTTTCTTAGGGAGACCAGTCCTGTGGGGTCTTGCCTGCAAGGTGAGAATGGCCCAGTGAGAACCGACTGGGCGATACCATCCTTCTTCCTCATGTTCACCCTTTTCTGTGCTTTCATCCCCAAGCTGAGCCGTTGTGCGAGGTGCCGCAGATTCCTCCAGGACAGGTAACCTTCGCCCGCGTCTCCATGCTGGCTCTCCAGCTCTCCAGCATGTTGCAAATTCTCAAGAGCTCTTGCTCCTTCTTTCTCTCTTGGCATTCCTTTATTCCCAACAGAGCTTTGCTTTCACAGATGATCGTCATCCTCCCCACCCCGGAATTTATACTCAGCTCATGGTCAGAATGTTCCTTCACGTCTCTCCCTCTCTCTCAGGGTGAGCATGGCGTTGAGGAAGTTTTGAACATTTTAAAAGATGAGTTCCACACTTCCATGGCCCTGACAGGTGAGCATGTGCAGTTCTCTTCCTGATGTGGGAGTTGACAGTGGGAGTGGCGACCCCTCCCTCTGGTACCCCGTCCCCCAGCCCAGGGGCTGCCAGAGGGGAGAGCAAGAAAGAGAGGCCCCAGGCAAGACCCAGCCAACGTCCAAATGTGACACATCTGCTACAAAAGCAAAGGCAGCTTCCAATCGTGGGGAAGAGGGTTCCATTTTACTCTGGGCTGTCCAGATCCCATCAGGCTTGTTAGATGTGACTTTTACATCACATTCGGGGACTGTGAAGAGTCAAAAAATGATGCAAGAAGGGCAGCATGGAGGAGGCGGGAGGCAGGCACAAACAGGAGGACAGAAGCAGAAGTCTGTCCAGCCTAACCATGGACAGACAGCAAGACACGTGGATGTCTCAGTTACGTGCAGGTGCATGTCAGTCCAAAATGACATCACTGTAAAGGAGTGTGCACACAAACTTCACATTTTTAGCAAAGCCTGGAATCCCAGTGATCCTGTAAAACAGTGGTTCTCAGCGAATGATGGCACCTCTCCTCTTCCGGGGCATTTGCTTTGGGTTTTTTCGTTTATATTTTTCTAATTCTAAGTGACCCAATTCTAAATGATCCCATGTCACCAAGTTCCTCCCGGGAGGGATGGGGGCACTGATGGGAACAGATAACATTGGTGTCTTCTGCCCCTCGGGGAGCAGTGGGAAGAGGGATGGGAAGAGGTGCCTATGGGCTTCCGTGGATCCCAGGAGGCTGAGATGACTCGTCCTGCTCCCCCAAATATCTTCTCCCATCCTGTACAATGGCATCTGAACTTCTTTTCACAGAAGCCTGAGGAGGGAATTCACAGTAACAGCGCCTTTTTATTCCACCAGAAGTGAACACTTACCTGCCGCTGAGGTGTCAATGGCAGCTGGGAAACCCTTTTTCTGAGATAGAGTGGGGAGCACCCTCTTTAAAAATGGCAGGAAAAAACAAACAGGATCATGAGCACGTTTATGCCTGACTTTTTATACTCCTCTTCCTTCTAATTGTTCTCCATTGAGAATGTATAGTTTTAAATGTATAGAAAAATTAATACTCACAACCAAACGTGGGACAGAGAAAAGGGTTTGAAGAGGAAGGCGGAAGGGCATGCCTCAGCATCCTCTGTGTAAGCGTCGCTCCCCCAGGGAAGACCCCCAGCCTAGTCCCTGGACAGAGGGCATCTCAGGTGGGGGCGTATGCTTTTGACGAACTCAGCAAACCTCAAAATCACAGTGTGAAACCCCAGAGATTCTGTCCCCACTTAGCCCGCCCCTGCACAGTGCATGTAAGATACCGACACAAAATTGGCACCGAGGTGGTGACCAGTCAACACGTCTCTCTCCTCATTCCCCCTGGAAATGTGCAATAGTTTTTCTTTATGACCCTGTGACATCACAGCCCTGGGAGGAAAACCCTGTTAATACTATCGCTGAAAACAAAGTAAGTTTAAAAGTGATGTTTTTCCAACTGTGAAACCAATTCCTGAAATGATGGAAAGGGTGAAATGACAATTTGTCTTGAAAAACAAGGATGCCCACATCAGAGTCATAGCAACACCAGACTGCACAGACCTCGCTACGTTTTCATCCCTTATTGACGTAAAAACGTCTAAACCTGTGGAGAATTTTAAATGTACGTTAGCCAAACAGAGGATCAGCCTGGTCACACGATCTCAACAGAGATAAAGCTTCCAAGCAAAAACAGTTTGCAGCTTCTTTTATGCATTTGGAGTTAAGGAGGAAACGTAAGGAAGATGACACAGAGGTAGGTCGGAGGAAGCAAGGCCAGAGCTGACAGACAGACGTGGCGACGTGCTCTCCAGGGTGGTCACGCTTTAGAAGGAAGGATCGGAAAGGGTGGTCACTATTAGGAGGAGGGGTCTGAAAAGACATTTCAAAGAGGCATCGACCTAGAGCACAGAAAGAGTAGACAGGACTAGTCTTGAGGCAAAGATAAGCTGTTTACTGAAGAAGTTGTGTGCCTGGGATGTGACCACCCAGCATGACCTGCCCCCTTAGGAATTCAGGATCGGATCACCCTGTAAGGTGACTTTCCATACAACCCTTTTGTTCCCCCCTCCCCGCCCCCCCCACACACACACACAGTTTAAATATTTTTTTTACTACATATATAACCAAAGATTCTATTTTGGCATCTCTGTGCTCCTGGAGTAGGTCTTCCTGCTTTGAGGTCCCACTCTTCTGCCCTGCGGTAACCCAAAGCCCTCAAGATCATTGTCAGCTCTGAGGGGAGCCACCCCTGGCTCCAAATTCTTTTAAATTTTTATTGGGGAGCAGCCATGGTCATTGATTACACATTGCTTTCATGCTACAATGGCATAGTTGACTCTTTTAAGGAGGGCGCAGTTCAGTGGCCCATGCAGGGATCGAACTGGCAACCTTGGTGTTATCAGCACCATGCTCTAACCAACTGAGCTAACCGGTCTCCCTGCCAAATTCTTGCTTCTGCTGAATTAGTCCAGTGTATGGGTTACTTATGCCCACTGTTTCTATTACCATCAACCCAGGCATGAAACGCACCTCAATTCTCTGTTTCCATTTTTAGGAAAAGACCCTCTCAGTTATATTTTTATAACACATGTTGCTGAAATTATGTCTTGGGAAGTGAAGGTGCACATATCAGAGATGTAGCAAGAACCTTGAGGGAGATGTTACACATCCTGTTATTAAAATCTTGCAACCTTCTCGTCACCAGTGATTTTTCACTGTCTACTGGAGTCCACAGTTCTCTAGCCCATACCCACATGCAGCAACTCTCTCCCTTGTCTTCTTACTTCTTATCTGGAGTTACTCCCTCCCATCCCTGTGCATGCATAATCTCAGCTACAGCCCTAATTGTGCAGCTTAATTAAGATCCTCCACTACAGAAGGAGGCTTTGTTTTTCAGAACTTCCCCTTAGAAGGCAGTTGCTGTATGAAATACCCCATCTCGTATGCTATCCCTGAGTCATCTTCCTCCCTGCCTGATATATCCTACATCCCTGAGCCTTATCAGGACTGAGATAAAGGTCAAGGGTACCCACTGCACTCATAAATTGATAAAAATGCTAACCCTGCCATTTGGGCATGGCTGTTCAAGAGAGGACCCGGGTGCAGGCTCACAAAATCATTCCCAACGCAATCAAAATGACATCATTCATTGTGGATGCATAACATTGTATCAGGGTGAGCACCAGGATCAAGTGGGGGCTTGTGCCCATTGAGTCGCCCACACCTGAGGTGGGGTGGGTCACTGGTGCTTCAGAGAATTGAACCTTTTAACTGCATCGTTCTTTTTAGGCTGCCGGTCGGTTGCTGAGATCAATCGAGACCTGATCCAGTTCTCCAGGTTGTAAACAAAGAGAGCTAAAGACGGGAGTGCTGAGATTGCCCACAGGAAGAAGACAAACTCACGGCATGGTGTGTGGTGTCATCCTGCCTGGGCCCCATCCTACCCAGCCTGCACCCTCAACCACTTCACCCCCTGTGCTTCAGGCCCCCCAAACCCTCGTCTCCCTCGAAGGTGCCTTGCCCTTCTCTGCATCACTGCTTTTTATACGCTGCTCTCTTGCCTGAAAGCCTCTTCTGAAAGAAAAGACCTTAAAAGGGCAAATCAATAGTGACTGAAATTGCTAGTGGATGAAACTTTTTGCACACCCGCCACATTTTCTATAAAAGGACTATGGAAATTTGCACTCTGGACAAAAGAGCTACATGTTTAAAATATTCCCCAACAAAAAATCATGCTCCTATCTGTAGATGATAGGGAAATAAGATAGTTGAAACCATAGGCTTTGGAGCCATGCAGACATGGGATTAACAGTCAGAGCTGCAACTGACACACTGGGTTGACTTGGGAAAGGTTTGCAATCTCTCTGTGCTTTCATGTCCTTGACTACCAAATAAGGAGTATTTTACCTAGCCCGCTGGGTTGGGAGAAAGGTTAAGTAAGATAGGGTGTGGAAAGTTCAGAGCACAATGCTTAGCACGTAGAAGAAATTTTAGCATGTAGAAGAAGTTTAAGAAAGAGTAGCTTGTACTATTACTGTTCAGCAAATTCTCTTACTTTCAAGTCCTTGTTCAAACGTCACCTGTTCTTACCCTGGCTACTTGCTAAGTGCTTCCTGTTGTATTGTGCACGTTCCATTATTACAACTCTCATTACAGTGTGTTGTATTTATTTATTTATTTGTTTATTTATTTATTTATTTGCATGTCTCTCTCCACGAATAGACTGTATTTGGCTTTAGGTAAGAAAATGTATGCTTGGTACTGGGCTTGGCTTATGGCAGCATCTCAGTGAACATTTGTGAGATGGATGGATGGATGGACTGAAGATAAAGGGATGAAAGGAGAGACAGAAAAATGAATAGAAGCTCTCTCACCAGTCCAATATTCAGTTAAAATAAATTCTAGAGTAGGGGTGCCCAGCTGAATAAGATCTGACACTTGAAGACATCAAGAAAATTGGGGTTAGAAATCAAATTTCCTAAATAGATAACCTCAAAACTCATTTCCCGTGTTCTCTCTTGCTGCTTATTATATTCTGTTCTCTCTCTCTCTCTCTCTCTCTCTCTCTCTCTCTATATATATATATATATATATATATATATATATATATACACACACACCAGAGAGTTGTAGGGGTTTTTTTTGTTTGTTTTTTTAAGTACAAGCAAATCCTGTTTAAAGCCTTTCCTATGGCTTTCTGTTTTATTTAGTATAAATTCTAAACTGGTCACCAGCTCTCCAGGGCTCTGCCTGATCTGGTTCTTGCCTGATCCTTCCGACTCATGTCTTTGTCACTCTCCCCTTTGCTCACTCCGCCCCAGCCATGTTGCCTCCTTTCCATCCCTTAAACAAGCAAAACTCTGTCTTGCCCCTGGACTTTCACACTTACTGTTCCCTCTACAGAAAATGTCCTTCCCCATCCTCTGCCCTCGGTTAGCGCTTTCTTTTTCTTTTTCTTTTTTTTATTACTTTCAGGTGTACAAAACAATGTAATAGACATTTACACCCCTCACAAAGTGATAACCCCCTCCCCCAACCTACTACCACTCAGACATCATGTATAGCTGTTACAGTTATATACTGAATGTGTGTTTGTGTATCCACTGACTCTATTCCTTATGTTGTACTCCACACCCTGTAAATAAATAAATAAATATATATATATATATATATATATATATATATATATATATATATATATATATCTGGATCCAACTGCATGGTCACATCTGAAGAATGATAGCAGTCCCGGAGGCAAACAGTGAGTTAGGACAGACAGAAGGGTCTGACTGGGTCACCACCTGAGCCACCAGACATGAAAAGTCTCCTGTCATTCCTGGCCGGACACTTTTCTGCGCGAACCCATGCTATAGTACAGTTCCTCTGTAAAAGCTTATCGCACATCCCAAGAGCCCGGACAAAGGAACATTAGGTAGCATGGAAGACACCGAAAGAGAAAGGTATCCAGCAGCTAGCTCCCTGGTCATAACTCAACGCCATAGACAATTGCCAGCTACTTATTCAGAAAGAGAAAACAAAGTATGGCGCCATTAGACAGCCCCGTTGCCTGTACTGGGTATACTCAGAACCCAGAATTCAGGAGAAGTGAACACCCAGACTCCCAAATCATCAGTCCCTTTCATTCTTCTCAGAATAAGAGATCTTAAAAGGGCAGATCCATAATGACTAAAACAGCTAGTGGATTATATTTTTTGTACCTCCTCTGTATCTCTACGAAATAACTATGGAGATGTGCACTCTGGACAGAACAGCTAACCATGTAAATTATTCCCCAACAAAAACATACTCCTTATCAAATGGCCGGACAGACCAACCAAATGAAAGAAGGAAGGTAAACCTAGTGGTTAGAATACTTAGGAGAGTGTGTGAAGTTCACATTGGCTCTGCATTGGTAATGGGCTCGTGGTCAGTTTGAGGCCAAGGAAGGGTCTAAATTTGGCAGCAAAGATTGGGTGTCTGTGCTAAGTTTAGGGATGTACTAAGGAAGTGCCATGGGTAGGGGCAGCTGTCTGGCTGCTACAGTAGTCACAGTTGCATTATGGGGCAGGAAGCCTACATGACCTAAATAAGGGTCTTAAAGATGACCCTCAACACACTGACTGGAGTGGTAACATTTGCCTTGGAAAAGATGGAAGCTTCACCCATATCAAAAATGGGAGGGCAGGGGACCGGCCGAGTGGCGGGTTGGTTAAGAGCTGGCTTGGAACGCCAGAGGGCCCTGGTTCAGATCCCACATATGAGGGCCAGTGACACTGTCCTCTACAGCTAAGATGCTGAACAACAGCTCAACCTGGAGCTGGGCTG